ACACAACTTATTAAACAAGTCTTCCTGAGAAAAAACCTTCATATCACAAACAGCTTGTCTTTGTTGAAGCTTGCCTCACTGCTGAAGCTACTTACCTGTTACAGGACACACTTTATGCTACATCACATATTTTTTAAAATCAAGTTACTAATTCAAGGGGCAATCTGAACTGAGTGTCACATAAGCTTTGTTAGGTGGCAAAGTGTTTATTTTTTTTCTCACAGCCAGACCCTTTATCAATCTCCTAGGAATAAGATCATCTCCCCTCTGTTGTTTAGTGAAGCAATGGGGCTTTCTTCCTCCATAGAATAGATCTAGAATATCAGATGATTTACCAGTGTGCCACATTACTTGCTTTTACAGTTAATACCCAACTTCTTCGATATCCAAATATCCTACTTTATTTCTTCTCTACCCCTCATCCCCGAACCAACCTATTGGTCTACCTTTATGGCTTATCAGTTGTTGTATTTCACTACCCACCAAAAGCGAGTGACGTAAAACATCTACTCACAACTCTTACAGCCATCGGTCACAACTGATCTTGTTTACAAAGTACTTCAGGCACTTGTCAAGTCACACAAATCCTTCACACAGTAGCTTTAAGCTCACCCCAGCAGAATCCAAAAAACGAATGGTGATAACAATCATCAACTATTTAAGCTCCAATTTTCTTTAATCCTCCTATAAAATTGAGAGGACCAAACACTACAAGGATTTCAAACCCTGGAATCTAACATTCCAACAGAAAATACAAGTAAAACATAAAAATAGAAGGCACTCCAAAACTAAACACATACCAAGAAACCAACCAACCAAACAAAAAAACCCACAACCCAGGAAGACCAGGCACTCTCAGTGTCTCTCAGGGATATGATCAACTAAAGAGAAGGTGGTTTTGAGACAGAAGCCAGCACTTCACTAGATTGTGAACTTCAGAGAGTTTCAAGCCTCCAGTATCAGAGAGTTTCACTTGTTTATGCAAGACTTCACATCAATTTGACATTAAAGCTAGCCCCTCAAAGCCTTCGCATTAGAAAAAATAAAATTGTGTGAATGAAGAGCAATAATTAGCAATCCTTCTCCCGTCAAATTTTTATTTCCTTCTATTCAAGATGGTTGCATGGAAAGAAAAAAAAAAAATCACTAAACTGAACAAGTCCATCACAATATCATTTATTTTCATTAGTGGAAAAAGAAAACAAAATATTCCACAAGTCAGAAATAAAAGGAGACTTGTGCTTCAAAAGAGCTATGCAGTAGATTTAACCTTCTGGGAAGATTTAAAAAAAAAAAAAAACAGTGTTGCAATTGCTAATTATTAAGCCACATCTTCAAGAAGAAATATGCTACCCAAAACTTGGAGCAGAACAAAACAATCTTGTAGCTCTGTTTATCTACAAGGATGCAGAACTGGAGATTCTTCAGAAGAAAGCTTACCTCTGAAACAGAAGTAACTTCACCTTCACGTATTTCAGACTGCAGACTGCACACTTAGCCAGAACAGACAGCAGAAACCACAAGGATTAGCTGAGAAATGAACAGCTATTCTATCACTACACCTGCATTTTAATTTCCTAATCTTAATCAACAGGCATTCAGGAACATTAGTTAAAATGCACTTTCATAACAGCTTGATGTCTTCCTTCACAAAAAAAAAAAAAAGCAATGATTATGGCAGTCCTTTTTCTTACATTCCAACTACAAAAAGAAGTAACATTAGATGGCCACCAACATTATTTGCAATGCAAAACAAGGTAATCCCATTTTCTTATTAAAACAAATGCATAGCCTATCTCCTTCGATACTGATATTCACTTTTGTTTTAAAAGGTTAATAAAAACAAGCTTTGCTCCATTAAGGAACAGATACCTTTACAAGGAACAAAAAGCCGGTATCAGCAGTGGTGTTCTAAACATACAGCAAGGGTCAAACTTCAGTGTGGTGAAGTGTTCACTCCACAAGTGCCAAACTTTTAATAAGAAAAAAAATAAATTTATTACAACAGAATATTACAAACAACTAGATTCAGTGAACAAAGAGTAAAATTTTACAAAAATGCAAACATTGTTATTTCCGATTGTGGAGTGAGAGATATTCCAGGTTTACAAACATGACATCTTTTTGTTTATGCACACTTAAAAGTGATTTCCACTCTGCTTTATTTTCCATCAAATACAGTACATTTATCCAAACAAAAGCATGTACATTCAATATAGAACATTTTGAGCAACAGCTACAGTCCAGTTCCCATTCACAGTATTTTTAGTGCAATGCACTAACAGGGCCAAATATTTCTCTATCCATAAAAGTATTTTTACTCCTGATCTTGTGATCAACATTTTTAGATATATTTTATACAAAAAGTATATATGAACACAAGGCACCTCCCTAAGTAAGGGAGTGAACCTATATAAAAAAAACATGGTATTTCTTCTGATGTACAATATGTTTCAAATTGTAGCAATTTGACACAAATCACTAAACAAAGTATTTTCTAAAAAGTAAAAACAAAACAAAAAACCCCCACCACTGATGCATGAATCCTGCCAAGAATTTCATAGTGGTAGGCATGCAACTGTTCTACTACAATCTTGATTAAAAGGTTAAAAAAGGGATCTAAAACATATTCCAAATTATACAAAGTCAAATGCTACCTATAGTGGTCATTCATGATCTCGAGAGAAAAACTATTTTGAGTTTCTCCCGTACTATCCTCCCTTTTTATTAACATTTAATGAAATAAGCTAACATTATAAGTGGTTGTGCACAGATTGTCTGTCTATAATACATCAGCAAATATTCACTACCTTCATATTAACATTAGTGTGTTGATCTTTCAAAAAATAAACTGAAAAAATAAACTGAAACTATCATTAAAGTGCTTGTGTATAAATTTTTTTAAAAACATTAAGGAATAGAGGAATGTGGATATTCTTGTAAACTTCCTAGAGGTTTACAAAGTTTTCGCATGAACCACATATGGAAACAAAATGGAGATCTTTGAAGTAACTTCGGTACAGTGAAATTCAGAACATCCCAGAACTGGGAAACTAGTCAATATGAACAAACTGATGTTATGGCAAATACTAAAAATTAGTACAATTCAGCCAATATACACTACATTGTTTGCTCTTATACATTCATTTGTAATAAATTTAAAACAGTATATAACACAACATTTGCCAAAGTAGGATATCACAAAAAAGTTAGAGCACTACCAGAGAGGACCAGTATGCACAATGAGCTCTCTGAAGATGATTTCCTACATGAGGAACAAAAATCTTCTTCCAAAGCTGCTGTTCATTAACTGGCTTCTGTACTTTTCTAATTTCAGAAAGTTCATTCTACACTGTGCATAGAGATGGCTGCTAATTTAGAAGCACATGTGCATTTCAACTACTTCAGCGTTTTGGGAGGAGGCACTGTCCTACAAGCAGTCAGGACGGCTATTAATCTAGTAAGAAAACAACACCTTATGAAAAAATTTCCTCCTTATAGTACCATTATCAAGATATTAGCAGTTCCAACAACAAACTAAAGTCTTTTTCATTGGAATGAACTCCGAACTTTCCGAACATCACTTGAACCTATCTGAGGAGAAATGGGAATAAATTAATATGTTGAGTTTACCCATATAAGTCTGTTTTAAATTACAGAACATAAATAATTTAAAAGGTTAAATTTTTAATTCTTGATCAAAATGCAGAAGCCACTCCTCCTCTTAAATTCAGCATAATTCAGGGTCCAGCTGAGTTCATTTCTGAAGTTCCGTCCCACTTAGCCAGGATTTGTGACCAAGTCACAAAAGCACCACATTAGAACTAAACACAGCTGTGTGGCAATTCACTACGAAAGCTGAACTCCAATCAAACTGCCTCCTGGGAAACAGCATTTCAAAGTTGAAATACAGAACAAGGCACATACACTGGGTTTTCTTTTCACCAAATATGCTAGAAAGATCATTCTGAATAAGGATGTTAAAAACCCTGATAGGTATCACTGCTGTCTCTCTTCACTGTAATTTTTTGTATGATTCCCAGCCTTCCTTCAGGCATCAGGTGGTCATTCTGAAATACAAACTGACTGCATGCGCACATTATTTCCTTTTTTAAAAGGTCCTTTTAAAGGCCATCTTTAACGTGAAGGCTATGGAAAACTGAGAAACTACAAATACAACCCCTCCAAGTGTAAAAAAATTCCCAGAGTACCATATAAGCAAAAGTTTAGAAAATTCTTGGCTGGACATCTACACATATCTAGGCTTAAAACAAAAATTCTTGATGAGACTTGAACACTTTAAAAAAAAAAAAAAGACCAGAAGTCTCCAAACCTGTGCTTATATAAACATTTAAAGAATTAAATCCTAAATTCGATTATTTTAAAGGTGTTTGTAGGCACCTAGCTCATACTGATTTTAAATCAAAGCAATTAAGCATCTAAGTTACATTCCAGAAAAGAGTTCTATGTCCTTTTGTTGACAGGGCATAGGCAATACATTAAAATTGAAAAAAAAAAAAAAAAAAGCACAAATGATAATTCCAATAAGTTCATAGAGATTTCTTCTGTCAACAGCTTTTACTGTAGTACCTTTAGTACTTCTTCAGCTGGGTGATAGTTAAGTCAATTAACAATAAGTCAGTTATTCAAATCAAACAAAAGTACTGTTACTTTTAAAAAAAATACTGGTTTAGAAATGTACTCATATTAGCTTGATTATAATAGATGCCTTAAAACAATTTAAAGAGTTGACTTGGTACAGTTTAATCTATGCTCTATTCTGAATTCCTACAATGACAAATTTAGAAATTAACTCTTTCTCAAAACACTAAAACCAAAATTTGACATCTACCTTAGTATTTAAGCCACTAAACCATAAAATCTATGGAAAAATACATTTTCGGCAATAAATCAACAACAGCAAATGAAAGGCAGTGGGGCTTTTTTTGTTGTTTGTTTTTTTTTTCTTTAAAAAATAGACAAACCACTTTTTTTTCACCTCACCAGACAACAGCTTTAGATCTTGTACTTCTGCCTTTGGTTTTATTTTCTTCAGGTGAATGAGACACATTTGCTTTGTGGGTTTTCTTATGATGTTCTAGAAAAGCTTTTCTGGCAAACGCTTTCCCACATTTATTGCATCGGTGCAGAGAAAAGTTTTTTGTTACTTTTACTTCAATGCCAACATCAGCTCCTTCATACTTTTTACTGGGAGAATTAGAGGTGACATCCTGTTTTGAAACAATCTGTTTTGTTTCATCCCTCTGAGGGCCTCTTTTTGTCACCTTATTTAGAACAAGATCAATTGGCTTTTTTATTGCTCTGATTTCCAAACTTGCAGTTATTTTCCCAAGGTAGCGTGGTGACTTTTTATGAACTACAGTTATATGTCTTATCACATCACGTTTGCGGCGTGTTTCATAAGAGCAGAGTGGACACCTGTAGTATTTAACATAAATGTTATTTCCATCTGTGTGTAACTCAATGTGTTTTGTCAAGTTCTGTTTAGAAGTAAATTGGCGTTTACAGAGTTTACAGTAAAGCTGCTTGAAGTCAAAGCCAGCTGAAAGTTTTGGCTTCCTGGTTTTTTGCTGGCCACCTGCAGCAGATGCATTGGTTGATTTAGAGGTTGATTTAGAGGTTGACTTAGTGGTTGATTTAGAAGTTGATTTAGGGTTTTCAGGGTCTTGTTTAACTTTATTTTTCTGTGCTGACGGTGTGCTCTTTTTCTCATTTGAATGATTTGTTCCCTTTAATTCACTCTGTGGAGAAAGGGCAATGGAAGGGGGTGAAGGTTCTACAGAATCTGCTGGTTCGACTTTTACTTTTATTTCTGTGCCATTGGCAGTATTGTTGGGTCCTTTCTCTCTTTTAGAGTTCTTTCCAGAAAGAGTTATCTTGTGAACAATTTGCATGTGCCTTTTCAGCATTATTTGTGAACTATATTTTCTCTTGCACAGAAGGCATTTGCATGCGCTTAAATTGTATTCAGCCTTTGAAGACGACTTTTGTTTTCGGGTCTTAAAAGATTTTTTAGCAGAAACTGTATCCAAGAACAAAGGTTGCCCAGGCTTTGTAGCTATATCAGGAGTAATGGAATCCCTTCTTAATCCTCTATGAACTTCATCAAAATGCCTCCTTACGTTGGCTTTTGTAGCAAATGATTTATAACACACAGGACAACTTCTACCTAATGTTACAAGAACATTCTTATTTCGTCCTTTTGCGGGGCACTGATTTGGTTTCTTTTTTGTTTCTATGTACTTCTTCAGCTCTTCCATCTTTTTTTTGTGCACTTTTCGAATGTGCCGGCGTACACTGCGTCTGGAATGAAATTCTTTCCTACAAAGGCAACATATCAACTGGTGGCCAAAATCAGAATTATCCGGAGAGTCCAAATCAGGATTTACTGCTGGAGGCTGTTCTTCGGGAGTAGGTACCACCTTGTTTGTAACGGGATCAGCAGGAGGTAACTCTACAGTCTCCCCAGCTGGGACTGGGGCTGGAGCTGAAACAGTCTTGGGTTGCTCAGTGCTGGGTTCCTGTATCTGTACCGGAGCTTGATCAGGGGTACTACTACTTTCTGTGTTCTCATCTGGGCTATCAGTCCTTGATACATATTGAAATACAGCATTCTGATTAGTTTCTATAGGTTCCAATTTAATTACATATTCTTGCTTATCTACCCTTGGATAGATTGCTTCCAGGAGGTCATTTATGGCTTGACTCTGTTTATCATTTATGTCTGGGAGGTCTGTGAAAAGAAGCAAAGGTATTTTTTAATGATTTGGCAATTTCAAATTACTGAAATTTCAAAGTATCTTTTAACCACTGTGTCAATTCGGTCACCAAATTTGCACAAATCCTGTATTTGTACTATTCTTCTGACCGTTTATACTTACAGGCTTTGAGTAATCATTTTTACCAGTACAAGTGACTTTTTTATTAAAAGCCAATGCTGGAAGTACATCCTTCCAGTGTGCTACTGTGAAAGCCACCTAAACTAAAAATTAGTTTGTCTGGAATTAAACTGTTCTTTAAAAATCTCTGTCAATTGAAAAAAATAATGGCATACAACTGAGCTTGTTCTGCACGTGTGCGACTAAGCCTGAACCATCACCAGAAACTAATTTTTCTACTGTTGGAAATGGGCATTCTCAATAACAGGACATAATTCTGGAAATAAGCTCTTCTCTGTGAATTCTGAACAGTCCTTAACAAAGAATGAAATGTCTGTGTAAGCTAAGCACTGCATGAAGATATAACCAGATATGAGAGAACTTAACTTCTGGGGCAGGGAAAGGTTTTAGTAATACCAAAGCAGTTAATAGGCTCAGTGATACAGTAAGACAGTAAACGTTAAGGACAGACAAGTCCTGTATTATTCAAGAGAAAAAAATCGTACTAGTTTCTCAAAACAATAAAAACTGAGACAAAGAAGTTACTTAAAGAAAGAGTAACTTCACCGAGGTTCACCAAAGGTTCATCCTATGCTCTGCCCTGATAAAGCATTGCAGCAGACTTAAAAAGCAAGAAAGAAGGATACAAGGATTTTCCTTGTTTGTCTGATGCCAGTAAACTTCCCAAGCTGAAGTTTGCCTTTAAGTACTAATACACTCAGTTTCCATAAAGTTTATTCAAATGCTTTTGAAGTGGTGGTTTTTTGTTTGTTTTACCAGAAATACTGATAATTTTACTGTCTGGTAATTTTTCTGGATACCTCACAGTTTTTGTATTATGAAAAATAAAGCCAGACAAATGATTGCTCCCATTTACCTTCATATCATTCATGATTTTACAGGCCTCAGTAAAATCCTGTTTTTAATTGTCAAATTAGTTCAGAGATCTGGTTCCCAGCACAACATGCTAAGCATCTGCACTGGCACAACTAAAAAGCCAGGGTGCTACAGCAAAAAGACGAGACACTGAGATGATACGGTTCAAAATTATCCACAATGATTTGAAGATATGATTCCTGGTAACAGCTAATTAAAAACCCACGCTCAGTCAGGGTTGTTCCCTGCACGCTGCCAGCAATGCATGAAAAGAGCATCAGTACAAGAGAAATGCTGTTTGTTGCTCAGAACTCATCCTTTAATATGGAATTTCGCAGTCAGTTTCAAATGGGACTCTGTATATAATTTTTAACAAAGGTAAAAAGTCCTTCCTATTTTACAGCACCTTTTCAGTCCATTTAATAACTACTCCAACAGAATACACCTCAAAAAGGTCATCAGGGAATAATAGTCTTTGGAGTTTTTCACTATAGGGATGCTGAACTTTTATTCCTATCTCTCATTCACTAGCTTTTAATTTTATTTATTGGAAAAAACCCCCCCACTTTATTCAATAATCATCATATTCAATTTCATATAAAATGTAAGTATTTATATAGTTTTATTCAGAGCACCTAGTATTATTCTCCTCATTTGCACCCCTGCTAGTGAAACATAAAACACAAAAACTAACCAGCCACTTAAATGACAGGAGCTGGACAGGAAGTTTTTACTCAGTAATCTTATTTTGCTCAGAAATTTTTGCATCTAAGTCAGATACACTTGTAACCTTGCTTTGAAAATACGATTCATCCCTTTTCACAGAGAAGCTCTGTGACTCTCTGCTACTTGCCAAGCACGGTCGTTTAAGGAAAGCGACAGTACTCGTCTTTTCACTTTCTTCGCAACACTAGCTGACACAAGGTGAGGAAAGAATTGCCCATGTAAATTTTTTGGTTCCTGATTTTTGAGATATTGAGGCAGGAAGGCATTAATCAGGAAAAAAAAAACCCTCATTGCATCTGTCGATCTAGTCAAGAGATCAAGATAATTAGAAAGCTTTACAAAACATTTTTGAATGCTGCCACATTTCCAAATTATTGAGCTTTATTCAGATCAACAAAAAGTCATCACTGGAATGAGACTTCAATAAATTTCTTTTTCCGTAAGAATATACTGCTTTATCTTTTCCTCATTATTTAAGTCACTTTAACAATAAAGTTTCATTTCTACAGCAAAGGTGGTGGGCTAGGCACGATCACACAGAATATCTTAAAACAACATAAGGTGAAGTGAGTGAGTAAGAAAGAGAGTATTACTGAAGGACAGATTTCCTAAAGATTGCATCCATGACACTAAGCACTTCGCCAGTACAGGAAAAAATTATGGATGTAGATCCAAGTCACTTTACAGGATCCAGCTGAATTCCATCAGAGCTATGCTGATCTAAAACTGAAAAGCCTTGTTAGACCCACGCTTTTCTATGAGATTAATTTCCGAGTCTTTTGGCATACTTTTCCATATATTTCACAGTAAAGAGGGAAAGACGGGAAAAAAGGGGACAAAGGAATAAAGTGTTAATAGTGACACTCTTCATTAAAAGGTTGGACGTATAAACTAGCTATCAAATTATGACACTGACATGGGTCTCAGTTGTTAACGCATATTAAGTCAGAGCTGTAACTTCTTTACTACCACTAAAGTGATCTACGTTTGTTACTATTGAAATTTAATTCCACTTCTTTTTTTTTGCATTTTGTTTCTGGTGTATTTGTATAAATGGTACAGAAAGATAAGTTTCTCAACTTCAGATAGCTTTATTAAATATTTGAATTAGTAAGACTTACTATCATCCATCTGGAGACTTGGAGGACAATAAAACTTCTTATGAGTAATTAAATTTGGTAATCCTCTGAAGAGACTCCGGCACAATTTACACTCAAAAATGGTGTCCACATCTTTTAACAAGATATGTTTAAGTTGTTTAGTTCCTGTAATAAAAGAAACGTTACACTTAAGGAAGGTTGTCTGTTCATCTTTTAATTCACATCATCCCATGAAAGTGGAAACATTTTAAAACATGACAACTATAACAGCATTTTATCTTGTGTTAATGCTACTTCATTGCACTGTAAGTTTATGAAACTTACTCCAAGTTCCACTAAAAAAACAAGCCTAGTTTGGAAAAAGAGAAGTCAAGGATTACGCACATTACAAGGAAAGTGCAATGATTTATGATAAAAACTAACAGCTAACATTAAAAAGTCCCTATTTCAGTATCTGGTTGCTGCAATACAATTGCCCACCAGGAAAGAATAACCACCTAGGAGCATTTAAAGAAGCCTGCAGTCTTTTTTCTTTAAGCTTATCCAACAGTGCTAAGAAAGCAAGAGATATACAGCTATCTGGGGCCAGTGCTATTTAACATCTTTGTTGGCAACATGGACAGTGGGATCGAGTGCACCCTCAGCAAGTTTGCAGATGACACCAAGCTGTGTGGTGTTGTGGACACGCTGGAGGGAAGGGATGCCATCCAGAGGGACCTTGACAGGCTGGAGAGATGGGCCTGTGAGAACCTCATGAAGTTCAAAAAGGCCAAGTGCAAGGTACTGCACATGGGTCGGGGCAATCCCAAGCATAAGTACAGGCTAGGAGGAGAATGGATTCAGAGTAGCACAGAGGAAAAGGACTTGGGAGTGCTCGTCGATGAGAAGCTCAACATGAGCCGACAACATCCTGGGCTGCATCAAAAGAAGCGTGGCCAGCAGGTCGAGGGAGGGGATTCTGCCCCTCTACTCTGCTCTCGTGAGACCCCACCTAGAATACTGCGTTCAGCTCTGGAGTCTCCAACATAAGAAGGACATGGAGCTGCTGGAGCGAGTCCAGAGGAGGGCCACAAAGATGATCCGAGGGCTGGAGCACCTCTGCTATGAAGACAGGCTGAGAGAGTTGGGGCTGTTCAGCCTGGAGAAGAGAAGGCTCCGGGGTGATCTTATAGCAGCTTTCCAGTACCTAAAGGGGGCCTACAGGAAAAGGCTGGAGAGGGACTTTTTACAAGGGTGTGTAGTGATAGGACAAGGGGCAATGGCTTTAAACTGAAAGAACGTAGACTTAGATTAGATCTAAGGAAGAAATTTTTTACATTGAGGGTGGTGAGGCACTGGAACAGGTTGCCCAGAGACGTCGAACACTTCCGGGGATGGGGCATATACAAGGCCAGGTTGGATGAGGCTTTGGGCAACCTGGTGTAGTGGAGGGTTTCCCTGTCCATGGCAGGGGAGTTGGAACTAGACGATCTTTGAGGTCCCTTCCAACCCAAACCATTCTATGATTCTATTTCATGTAAAAATAGCACCCGGTAAGGCAAAAAACTACCAGAGCATACAATAAAACAAAGAGAACAACTAACAGGTCAAGAAATGTTACTATATCTAGGTATCCGACCCAAGATCAAGATGATGATGTTTAGGCAAGAAAGTAGTACTTGTAGACATATTTTTAGTCTACTGAAAGGAAAATACGTATAATTTAAGTGAGAAACTTTTCTGTTAAAATGTAGGCAGTGTGACAAAATACGCAGGTTTTCCAGACTGTTACGCACTGTATATTAAAAAAAAACCAAAACAAACAAAACACACAAAGATACAGTTTGATCTAGCATTGTTGATGCATTCAATCTCATGCCTTACTTAAACAACTAAAGGATCTGGAGTTTAAGTTGCACTTCAAACCCACTCCTTCATTTCTCATCTCAAAAACTATGAACGTAATGCCTACAGTTAGCAACAGATTACTAAACGATGAATACTTACCCTCTCCAAATTGGAAAGAAACACTAGCTAACCAAATACGGCTTATTTCTCTATCTTGATTTTTTTCTTATATTGGAATAAATCAAAATTAATCAAAATTAGTTCAACACGCAAAAAACATGATTAAACTGGACTAAGAATAAAGTTATATAACCAGACAACTATGAAACAGCATCAAGGCATTCTTCAGGCTGGAATAAAAGTTCAAGTTTTCTGTCATCACAGACACTTCTCTTAAGAATTCCTTTTAACTATTGAACTCAGTCACACTGCAGAACCATTTCCCAAACAAAATTCTTTTAAATATTAAGAATTTCATAACAACTAATAGTTCTTTAATATGAATGGGCCTAACTAAGACAGCTTTTTATTTCTTGGTGCAATAGTAGTCCTACAAAATTTCTTACAACTGAGCTTTAGCAAAACATGCTGTCTTCTCCTCCTTCAACAATTGCTTAAAAACGGGACCCAAACATGACTATCTGAGGCTACCATCCACTTTGTGTCCCCTCATACTTCTTTCCTGGGCCACAGCCCTAGCCTCTTGTCTTTTCCTCTCACTGCTCTTTCCTCAAGTGTTACTAACCTTGCCTTCAGGTGATCTGCATTTTTACAGACCACTGGAAAAATATTTAGATTTAATGAAAACTCCAAATTTAAAAATTCTACCAAGTTGTTTACCCAGATATCACCAACCAATATTTGAGCTTCAGCATATAAAGAAAACCACTGATGAAAACCCAGGTGAACAACACTGCAGATGCTCCATGTAGACAAAATTCCAGTAAGTTACCAAACTACAGTTCAAATAAAAGGCCTCCAATTTGGTGATAGCACACAACAACCCAAAATTTGGCCATGCTGTCAACACCTGCCCTAGCCACAAAACCCTCTCCAAAACAAAAAAAAAACCAAAATCACCTAATCCTCCACTATTTCCCAATCAAGGGACACACAAGTTCCTCACTCTCTCTCCTGTTATACTGATAGCTCTGTCTTTTTCTGTTCAGGGCTGAAACATTTTTGTCTACTCCAAATTATTTGGTTTAAGAATTACCAGGTGAGCTTTAAGGACTTATGACATACTGGAGGTCAGACAAGATGACATGGTAGTCACTCTGGCTTTGAACCTTCCTTATGCAACTATGAAGCTTCTCATTGGTGGGAATAAAAAAGTCTTTTTGAATTAAATTGTAGACCTTTAGGGACTTCTGGAAACAGCAAATAAATTTAAAACATCCACTGGTTTTGTGGACACAGCAGGCAGAGAGTAAAAAAAAACCATGTCCTTACTCTTCACCAAGTACAAATTGTGGCAATGAACTGTCAGTCTTCTGCCACCATATGCTGCCTCCAGCTTCCTGAAGCCTTCCCTAAGTTATAGTTACATCTAAACTGGGCAAGCGATGCTTTGTCAAATTCTGTTAACGTTTGTAAATAAGCTAGAATAACATCACAGTCACAAGAAATCGGTACAGAATATTGATTATTATAAATATTTCCCTGGCAGAAATACCAGAGTTCATGTCTTTAGCAAGCAATTCCATCTTTAGGAAAAAAAATCTAGATTCAAATTCATCCGTTATTCTTAACGCTTCGGATGACAGAAGTTTCTGCTAAAACATCTTAGGTAATTATGGACAATACTCTGGCTTTAATCTCTATGTCTTTACCATAAGAATCAAAATAGTTTCTACCCGTAATGAGAGGTTGCTTGTTCAAAACTAACCAGTAAAATCTTGGTCTTAAGTCCTTTTGCCTTCCGTCCAATTTCCCTGGTGCAGATGACTGAAGATGGCAAGGTAAGCTATCAGTTCAACACATGCCAGTGAGGACAATCTCGAAGTAGCCCAGAGCCAGTACTTGCAACTAGTTCATGCCATTAACAGTAGAGATTCCACTAATCTACTTCAAGCAAAAGAACCCTGCCACGCATATCTGAGGCCTTAGGCAACTTCATCCAAACACACTTCTTATGAAAAAGTTTACTAACGACGACTCTCACATCCACTTTCCCTTGTTGTAATAAGTTCTGTAAATGCAAGTGGAGAACATAAACTGAATACTGTGCCACTCTACAAGACTCAGCCCAGACGTGCATCCCATTACATAGCAACAATGATTTATACATGAAACATTCCATATATATAACAGCTCTATATGGAAAAATCTAGAAACATGTCGATAGTAGCATTAAAGACATTACTTTAACTCTTCTAATAACTACTGTGTTCTTGCACCAGGGGTTGTGAAAATAAAACGTTTGGTTTGCCACATCAGAAGCACAGAAACAGTCAGAAAACATTAAAAGTTTAAATCATCTCTGGCATGCTCACCCAAACACTCAGCTGTTACTCTCTGGTTCATTGCTATGTATTGCAACTCCAGAAAACAATCAAGGAACAACCTACATATCACATGATAAAGCAATTCTAAAAAGTTCAAGGTAAATACTAAATTTTCCCATCATCTCAGGACTTTTAGGATAAACTCATTAATAACAGCAGAAGGGATGACATAAAGCAGAACAACAAACTAACATTCTATTTGTTTGAAAGATAACCATACAGCAGAAGATGTACCTTCATTACTTTACATGAAAACCCTTATTAAAAGAACCAGCACCTAATACCAAAAATTTACAAATATATCGTAAATATGTAGAAAGTCAGGTGCTGGTTTGTTTTTTCTTTTAATATACTAAATAAACATAACTCTTATAACAAGGTAATAAACTTCTTAAGAGTCAGGCATAATTTCATACCTGATCGAAAACACTCAATGATTTGTTGAATACCAGATTTTGATGTTTGCAGAGGCTGCTGTAATAACGGAGGATCACCAGGTTCCAACAGATGCACTGAAATATATAAAAGGATAATAAGTCATTAGAGAACACTCAGATGACTTCTTTAAGCTACGGATCTTCTGTGCATATAGTAAAATAGCTAAAAATATAGTTCAAGACTACAGTAAAAGTTGTCTTAAAATTTTTTATCTATACTGAATTAAAAACAGTCAATAATGAATTTTCCAGCCCTGATAACTCTGACAGTTCGCTGTAATTTTCATTATTTAAAGAAAATGTGTACTCAAAGCTATATGTATCAAACACAAAAGCATATAAATATACAAAACCCAGCTGACTCATTAGAAATTTCCATCAATTAAAAAAACTCCCCAGAACAATACACTTGACTCCCATGTTCAAACCAAATACTCTACTTCACAGCATACAATGCAACTTGAATGTTGTCAGCACACACCAAAGCACTGAATCCAAATCTAAAGTAGCAATGATCAGAAAAAAAGCATAAGTATAACTAAGTTTTATGTACCAAAATTTGCTATTGTAATATTTTTAACCAATAAAAACCACATTCAAGAAATGCCTCTGGTTCAAGCAAACTGCTGAAGTAATACCTTATTTCTGAAGTTTCATTCCACATCACAATCTTTGTAAAATCTACTGAAACTAAAACATTTATTGATCAGGATGATTATTAGTTATTCCAATACACAGTATTTATGCACATGAAAATTAATAGCATTCCATTGCTGTATATGCATAAGGCAATTAAGCTTTGCCCAGAGGGGAAACCTAATTTAAATGAGTAAGAGCACTTATTCAAAAATGCATTTGCAAAATCATTAGTTAGATCTTCCTGTTAATTTCTCATTGACAAAATAACTAGTTTTGTAGTTCATAAATCAGCTTCTACCTTATCCATTTGATTTGATTTTTAACCCCATTGTAAGGTTTCCATTTCTAAATGAAGCACGGAGCATCTCTAAGACATTTATTTTTAATAAAGCACAGTAGAGGTATAGTATTAAACTATGTAGAGATAAGTGCAAATAGATTAAACACATTTTGACAAGAAAGTTCTTCTAAAAGATGCAAGGTTATAAATAAATTCAAGTTGAAAAGAACATTAGAAAGAAAAGCAGTCTTAGAAAAGAATGACAGAATGACCACTCCACCCAACTATGCTGGCCCCAGAATATACTATTATATATACAAGCACATAACAACCATTACAAATCAGCTAATCGTTTGGGGATTTCTAACACAATAACATACAGTGTTCTACTAGCCTATTCCCTATTCTTCAAAACAGTATATTTTGGGTTGTATACTGCCTCTGACATGCATATGCAACACCCACTGACATCAAGAGGAGCGAGATACATGAAGCACACGTAACACATCCCTGTTATTCGTAAGGCAAGAAAGTATTTTAGCTTTTTTAAAGCATTAGAACAACTCAAACCTATGTTATCTTAAACACAAAGAAATGTTTCTACTAGATAAACAATACCCACTCTCAAATTACATTCAATTAAAGCAGCATTATCAAAGTTGCCATTCATATGCTTTCAACTATTAATTCCCCAAACTGATGTCTTTCTTTTGAAAACACAAGTGAATGCATCCAAATAACAAACTCTACAATAAGGCAACAAGAAAGGAATCAAATTTCCTTTTAGGCAGAACAATTACTAAAAAAAGTCTAGCAGGCTGGCTGAACCTTTAAAGTATTCATTATACTTTCCACTGATGGCACCTTCCATGTCACACAGCAGTGGAATGCAAACAGCCCTTTCAGCACTTGTTTGTTTTTTTTCTCTCCTCTGAGAAAAAGATCTTCAAGTTCATCAGAGCTCATTCGAGAAGATGTAAAGTAAAACAAAACAGTGAACGCAAGAGATTGCTAGAAACATCATTTTACAAAAAAAATCTGAATATTGCACTTTTTGGAAACAAAAGGGCCAATTGTTTTACCCAACTTCATGCCTTCCTCTGCTCACTGCATGCAATGCCCATGTGGGGGCTTGAGGATTATGGCACATCCTGCAGGAACTGAGAAATTATCTTATACTGAAATAATTTTAACATGACAGTTCAAGGACATGAAAAAAACATTTCCAAACAAAATCCAGAAACTTTTGACATCTGGAACTGTCCCTAATGACGCACATTTGCAACATCACAGCAGTTTCCGCAAGCTTTTAACAAAGGAGATAAGCAAAACAGCCCAAGCATCACACCCACAGTACCTGGTTCGCAGCATCCATGGTGATGGTGGTCAGTCTGACAACACTTGTCCCTTAGAGGCATTTTCCGTGCGCACGACCTACTTTCCTTCTACATCCAGCAGCCCGTTTCTGATAAAATAAGCAAATTAACGGTCACACCCGAAGAACGGGCGGCTCGGGACAGCGCTAACCTCGCACGCCCACTTCCCACAGCGGCACCGCCGGAGCAGGCCGGCAGGCA